GCAAGGTATGCAAGATGTAAGAATTGGAAAATTACTTGCTGAGAACATGTATGTTGATGTGCTTGATTGAACCAATGCACAGTGTATTTTGGATGGAAAATTCATTGGTGTGTTGTGATGGTATATAGTGAATTAAGGTAGAAAATAAAAATTAAAAAAAAAAAAATCTCGTCGAGTGTTTTGTGTGCCCACTTGGTTTAATAAAACAGGTAGTACTTATGTGTTATATGTTACTTTTTCTGTTTTTAGTTTCAGTACAAACAAAAGATCTTTGACCTCAATGTATCTCTTGGATGTTTACAGAGGGACCCTGAAACATCCAAAAGAGAGATGTTAAATAATCAGACTTCTTATTTATATGCTAAATAAAAACAAAAAACATTGTCAAATTAAATCATTCTCATTTTAACCACCATACCACTGGCAAGCCCAAATAATCAGTAACTCAGTCATTTTTGGTTTTTTTCCTGAGTTTTTTTTAATTTATTCCAAATTTTTACAATGAAAATGTTACCTTTGTAATAAAGAAAGTGCCATTAGATTTTGGTTTTTTTTTTTTAGGTTTTTGCCATAGAGTGCATTGGCTCACCAGAGAGACAGTGAGAGGAAAAGTAAGCAAACACCCGCCAGGAGTATGGCAATGCCACAATGCCTTTTCCTCCATTCTCCTGGGATTTTGGTCACACATGCATATATGGCCCAACATGATTTTCAAGCTGCCACATCCATGGTCAGCCAAGTGAAAGTCCCACTTTAACCACCATGCCACCTGCTGGCCTGCCATCAGATTTTTTTTTTAGTTACCATATTTCATCAAATCTAAAATGCTTGAGCAGGCAGGTGATGCGGTGGTTAAGGGTGCTGGACTCCCACATGGCTGACTGTGGTTTGAGTCCCAGTCCTGGTGGCTTCCTTTCTCACTTTCCCTCTCTCTCGCTCTGTCCCTCCCTGGTCAAATTAAAATAAGTGAATAAATAAGTAAAGTTAAATAAAATAATTCTTTCTAAAAAAATCTAAAATGCTGTGGGGACCAACAGGTGGCATGGTGGTTAAGGCACTGGACACTCCCACAAAGCCAACCCTAGTTCAAGTCCTGGACCTGGTAGCTTGCTTTCTCACTTTCCTCTCTCTGTGTCTCATTCTGGTCAAATTATAAAATAAAAAAAAAAAAAAAAAAAGAATAAATAAAATAAATAATTCTTTTAAAAAAATTTAAAGGGAACAACAGCTGGTGTGGTGGTTAAAATGCTGGACAGTGTGCATGTATTTCTCTCTCTGGTCAAATTAAAAAATAAATTAAAAAAAAAAAGAAAATACACTTAAAAAAAAAATCTAAAA